ATGGCTGTCGTCACCACCACCATCAGCATCGTCGTCGTCTCTATGCTTTGTCTTCTGTGCCTGCTGCTTTTGCACGATGCGATAGATGGTTTTGTCCGAGTCCTTGATCGTACGCCCGGACCCAAACGGGCTGCTTCGCTGCTGCTGCTGCTGTTGTTGAGCGCTGCCGTTTGCCGACGACGAGGATGAATCCTTGATGACTGCCAACACGCCGTCGTCCAACAGCTTCCCGCAGAGCTTCTCGACGTTGGGTCGCTGCGCTTGCTGGAATCGCTCCTCCGGCTGCTCGTGCAGGTACTCCAACACGGCGGTGACGAGGTCGCTGCCGCGGATGCAGTTTTTGTAGAAGCGCCGACCAAACCGCATATCCTTTGTCTCGCATGCATGTACGCGCTCCTCCAGCCCTTCCCACAGCCTCAGCGCCCGGAACTTGGGTGCCCCGTCATCCTGCTGTTGGTGCTGCTGTTGGTGCTGCTGTTGGTGCTGCTGTTGATGCCGCTGTTGATGCGCGGCTGTGCTCATCGTGCTGGTGATCGGTTTCGACGCTCCAACACCACCAACCAGCGAACGAGCAATTCAAATTTTGCGGCTAGGGCAACTGATCCGCCCGTTGAGGAAATGCGAGCGTTCTGCAAAGATATTGGCGAAACAGCAAGAGCGCTGCAAGCACAGGCGAAACAAGAAGAAGGGAGAGCACGTCTCTCGCACACGTGAGCGATGCCTTTTCCTCCTTCCCCGCACACGTTGACGCCATCTTCCTCACCTCGTGTCTCGACCACCCTCAACTTATTTCGCCTGCACGAGAGACGAGACAATGGAAGTGTGTGGAGGGCTCCTTGTTGGAGCTCGGTCAGAGATGACCAAGGACGCAAGGTGGGGTTGAACTGGATGTGTGTTTGTGTTTGTGTGTGCGTGTGCGTTTGTGTGGTTTTTGCTTCGTGTTTTCTTGCTTTGTGTGTGTGTGCGTGTGTGTGTGTGTGTGTGCGTTTGTGTGTGTTTGTGTGCGCGCGTCCATGTGCTTGCGTGTGTGTGTTTGTGTGTGTGCGTGCTATTGGTGTTTGCACTTTCACGCATGTGTGCATGTGAGTATCATTGTGGTTGGCATGCTGCTCTTGGTGATTTGCTCACTGATGCCTACTACGCGCTTGCATTTGTGTCTCGCACCTGCTTTGCTCTTCGTGTTTCGCCCCTTCTTTGCTGGATCAGGTTTGCGTTCGTTCCATGTGAGAACACAGTGCGTGTGGTGGCGCTGCGCACAAGTGCTACCGTGCGCGTGCTTCAAGGGCACTCGCGTGCCATCACCCAGGTCTCCCTCAACCCGGCCAACCGCCTCCAGGTGCTTCCACCCTCTTCCTCATCCCGTAACGCATCCATGCGCGTATGGCCTGCGCTGATGTGCGATTGTACACCCTTTGCCAACACGCGAGTCTCCTGCCCAAGTTGGAACTGTCTTCACCTCCACCACCACTCATGCTCACTTCACACCTTGCCTCCGTGGTGCTGTGCTGTGTATGACGACGCACTAGGTTGTGACGGCTGCAAAAGACAACACCATCAAAGTCTGGGACTATGACGAGGCAGTCTGCCTGAGGGTACGTAGCAACTGCGCTCCTGTGCTTTTGTTTTGTTGGCGTACTTGTTACAGTGTCGTGCTTGTGTCTGTTCGAGCTTCATTCAATCTACACCACACACGCGCACATGTTCATTGGAGCACACACTCACTCGCGCTTGAAATGCCTCCCCCTTATGCACATACACACGCGCACGCAACCGTCTGCACCTGCCCCCCTCCCAACACACAAACACACAAACACACACACACACACATACACACACACACACACCACAGACCTTCAAGGCCAAGGGGAGCGTGGCTGCTTTCTTCTTTGATGGCCACGATGCTCGCGAGCTGTACTGGGTGGAGGAGACCCACTTTGGCCGCGCACAGCGGCTGTGCCACATGACCTTGCCTGACTCTGCATCCTCCCTGGATGTCGAGCTGACATGTGAGTGACAATCACACACCACACATCACACACCACACATCACTTTGCGTCACTCATCACACTACACAACACACACCACCCCTGCAGCCACTGGGGGTGCTTACATTCACTCTTTGTCTGCTAGCTGGTGGCCTTTCTCACACCATTGCGGTTTTTCATGTATGTGCGTGTACGTACCTGTGCACTGCTGGGCAGACGATGATGTGATTGTTCCGGAGGTGCGCCATGCGCGGTCGTGGTGTTATCACCCGCGCACAAAGAGCTTTCTTTACGGCGCTGGCAAGACCCTGCACGTGCACTCGCTCGCCTTTGGCACTGAGCGTGTCTTCAACACGTCCAACACCATCACCGTCATCGCCACCCATGACGAGACGGACGCTATCGCCACCGGTGACGCCCAGGGCAAAGTCCACGTCTGGTCAGTCACCATGCACGGCGAGTGTGCGCGCCGTGTGTGTTGTTGTGTGGTTGTGTGGTTGTGTGGTTGTGTGTGCGTGCTTTGCGTCTGTGCGTAGTGATTGTGTGTGTGGTTGTGTGTATGTGTGCTTTGCGTCTGTGGTTTGTGATTGTGTGTGTGTGTGATTGTGTGTGCGTGTGTGCGTGAGCACTGCACGATGCACCATGAGGTTGTCTCATCCTGGTGCTGATGCTTGTGTACGCGACTTCTTTTGCTGCCTCTATTGCTTGCGTGCGAGCAGGTATGGATGCTTCCGCGACACAGACAGCCCGCCCGTCACAACTTCGCTTCACTGGCACGCGCACGCCGTGTCTGCCCTGACATTCACCACAGACGGCGCATACCTGCTCTCAGGTACACGCATCAGCGGCGTTGACGTGTCTCGCGTGTTCACAGCATTGTCTCGTGGCTCATGCCAGCAATACTGCCTCTGTCTTTGGCGTTCAATACGAATTTGCACGCGCACTGCATACTTGCAATCTGATCACTATCGCACACACATACACACATGCACACACGACGCAGGTGGTGAAGAGGCTGTTTTCGTAATGTGGCAGCTGGACACCAACACCAAGCGCTTCCTTCCCCGTCTTGGTGCGAACCTCAACTTCGATGTCACAGAAGAGCACGCATTGGCGCTTGTCCTTGGCATGCATGCAGGTGTTTGAGTGCTCGAGCCTTCGTGTTGCACACACCCCCTTACCTGCAACTGCTCTCTGTCTGCCCCCCTCTCTCTCTCTTTTTATTCGTCCCTCCCCCCTGCGTCTTGTGCGTGTGTACACCGCGCATCCTGTTGCCAGGCGCCCCGATTGCGCACATTGCTGCTGCGCAGAACAGCCAGTTCTATCTGGTGAGCCTCCACGACAACTCTGTGCTCATCATCAACGCCGCTGCCTTTGCTGTCTCCCACTCCATCATCGGCTGTCGTCAAGGTGCGAACATATTCACGCGTGTGTGGTTGTAGCTGTGCGTGATTGTGCGTGCTTGGGTGAGTGCCTGCTGCCATTTTGCTTTGGCGTGTGGTTCTCTACCTGACGCGCGGTGGGCTCTGTGCTTATCTCACGCCTTCTCACACCACCACCACCACCACCACCACCATCGCCGCCACCACCACCACCACCACCACCATCGCCGCCACCACCACCACCACCACGTCCCAATCTGATCTGCATGATCCAGCGCCCGTGCACGCGCATCAGAAGCACACGGTTGGCCTCGTGCGGGAGCCGCAGTCCGGGTGTGTCCTCACCAACGGCAAGCAGGGCATGCTGCAGCTCTACGACATTGAGCGCGATGCCCACGTGCGCGACGTGGATGTTGTTGGCCGCCAATTTGTTTCCCGCACATTTCGCCGCCACATCTCGCCCACCTCCGTCCTCCACGCAGCATACGCCGCGGTACGCGCGCACACACACACACACATGTATGCCACTGGGCATTGCTCTTCTTGCGTCATGCAGCTTTGACTTTGTTTACATGTTCTTTGCTGCGCACCACACATACGCATTGTATTTGTACCTGTCTGCGTGCGACTTACCTCTTGTTGTTTTCCTCTTGCTTTTGGTGTGTGTGTGCGTGTGTGTGTGTGTGCGCGCGCGCAGGGCGGGTCAACGCTGGCGACGGTGGAGTACCGCCGGGACGCGTTTGCAGACGGCGACCTTCGCCTCAAGTTCTGGACGCGCAAGGACTCTGGCTTCAAGTACGCCATGAACACGCTCGTGGAGCCGCCCCACACGGCGGCCGTCACGGGGCTTCTGGCCCATCCGACCAAGCGCCTGTTTGTCACCACGTCCAAGGATGGCACCATCAAGCTGTGGGCGTTTACGGAGCAGGGCGGTACGAGTCAAGGGGGAGACGAGGGTGCGTGACAAGGAGGCTGCAGCGACGTTCAGCGTTGTGGCTGTGGCTGATGTCGTTGATGCTCTGCGTGTGTGAAGTATGGCGGAAGAGCAGGGTTTTGTAGGCCGGTACCAGTTCACGTTTCATGCAACTCACACACATACACACACATACACACACGTGTCCATACATACACACGTCCACACACATTTATTTTCTATGTTCTCAGATCCCGAGGACAGCCGGCGGCCTTCGCCCCACTGGTACTGCCAGGCTGTTGGCGACTACAACCAGCTCCCCTGCACCGCAGCCGCCATGTCTGCTGATGGCTCGCACTTTGTCGTTGCGTGCAAGAACTTTCTCACGTTGTGGAGCACGGAGGACATGACGCTGCTGCGCGTGGCCATGCTCTCCACCCATAAGGTGCTCGTCTCCCACCTTGCCTTTACGGCCGACGGCAAGACAATTGTGCTCGCTGCGCGCCAGCACACGATGCTGTTTGACGTCTCAACGCTGGGCGTGCTGCACTCGACTGCCCAGCGCACCGCCTTCCTTGCCACCGCGGCCCACACCAGCAGCGCCGCCGCCTCCTCCACCGCCGATGACGCCAGCGATGAGGGCGACAGCGACAACAGCAGTGGAGAAGTGGAGCACGGTGATGTGTATGCGGTTGTTCACTCGCATGATGATCGTAGCTCGTGGACCGCCTCTGTCTTCCGCACGAGCAAACCAGACGCGCCGCTTGTCGACATTCCCCTGCGCAGCTGCCCAAAGGCCATCGCCTTCTGGCAGGTGCGTCTGCATGCTGTGTTTGTGTTTGTGAAGTGCTCGTGCGTTGATTGGGTTGCACACCTTTTCTTTCATTTGTCGTCTTTGCCATGTGCATCTTTTCTCTTGCCTTTCGGCCTGCTCTTGCGAAACACCCTCTCTTCCCCCTTTTCTCTCCCTTTTCTCTTCCTTTCCGTTTCCGTTTCCTCTACCTTTCGTTCTTGTCCCCCTCCTCCCCCTCCTCCTGCCCCTCCTGCCCCCTCCTCCTCCTCCTCCTCCTCCTCCTCCACATCCATTTCTCTCGATCCTGTTCGTCCACATTTCTTCTGTCTTCCGCACAATGGCGGTGCTCTGCCTGTCCCTGTTCCCATGGGCAGTGCATGTTGCGAGTCACTGCAAAGAGCTGTCTGTGCGCACACCAAGGTTTCTGCGGACGATGGTTGTCCTGTCACACCCCACCTTTACTTGCTGGTGTTGGCAGCAGTACCCATGTCTATCCGTACACCGTTGCCTTCTTTTGTTCCTTTGCATCCACGTGTGCCGCGTTCGCTACCCCCTTTCGAGGAGAGACGCGCCGGGGGGGGGGGGGTTGTTACACCTTTAGCCGAATCCCTTCCTTCCTTCTTCTCATCCTTCCTTCCTTCACCGCGAATCAATTTCCCTATCAAGCACAGCAGCACCAGCAACAGCACCCCTCTTCGCGTGTTTCCATGCCCATTTGCCCTCCTTCCAACTCAACGATGCTCACCCCACCGCATCTGCTGTTGTTCCACCCATTTCCCCACGCATTCTCCACCCATGACGAATGCTGACAGGTGCATGGCGAGCTTCGTCTCGTGGTGTTGGACCAGCGCCAGCGGTTGTGCCTCTTCCCCCTCGATAGTGCAGGCACCCGCAAGGAACCAACCCGTCTGCAGCCAGACACCAGCAACGTGCGTGTGTGGTTGTGTGGTGTGTGCATGTAGTGTCAATGTGAGCACACAGTGGCTTGGCGTTGTTCTGTCTGTTGTAACTGCAGGCATGGTGTTTTTGGTGGTCATGTCATGCGTTTGCCATCCATTTTTAGCTTCCATTTCTCACCCGCAGCTCTCCCATCATCCCATGCCCCATGCATTTACGCCCGCGTGCTTCGCAGGTGCCGCTGTATGGTGTTGGCAGCGAGGACTTTGACCAGACGCGGCAGGCGTATCAGCGGTTCTTTGGCACAGCAAGTGCTGCTGCCAGGGTTGTCGGCGCCACGTCCTCAGCACAGGCGGCGTCAGCCTTGTACGCCGAGCAGCAGCTTGCATCCCGTGCCATGTCCATTGGCAAGACCCCGCTTGAGGAGACGTTTGCTGTCCCCTCGCACCTGCTGCCCTCCATGCGGCTGCTGTCTGCCCAGTTTCTTGACCTGTCGCTTGCCACAGCGCGCCCGCACGCCACAGCCACGGAGAGCGGCAGCGACACGACAAGCAAGATGCCAGTGGACGACAAGGCCGCGCTTGCACAGGAGAAGGCCGACGCGGTTCGCATGCGCTCCCAGGCCACGGGTGCCGACGGCAGCAAGACAAGCGAGCCCTCCACGCAACGCGATGCCAGCACCAACAGCAGCAGCAGCGGCAGTGGACTCGTGCTTGAGACCCTGCTGCATGCGCCCGTGCACACAAGCACGAGCGCGCCGTCCATCACCGCATCAGACTTTGCGTTTGTGAAGACGCTTGGCGATGTCAGCAACGAGGGCGAGGGCGACAAGACGAGCATTGCAGCCGACGACAGCTTTGCGTGGTGCTTCGAAGCGCCATCCAAGCGCTCCGACAAGAAAAAGAAGAAGGACAAGAAGGACAAGAAGAAGAAGGACAAGAAGGACAAGAAGGATAAGAAGGAGAAGAGTAAGGGTGACACGTCCACTGTGGCGAGGAGACAGCAACCACGCGTTGAGGTGGAAGACTTGGAGACGAAGCAGGGCCAGGAACCGAACGGCGCTGTTGCGACACCAAAGAAGTTGAACGGTGTGATGATCAACGGAAACGGCAGTCACCACGTGGCTGAAGAGGAGGACGGCGAGGAGCACGTGACACCAAAGGCGAAGAAGTCCAAGGTTGAGGACGCTGATGATAGTGAACAGACCAAGGGTGAAGAGGGTCAGGAGGAGATGAACGACTCTCTGGCGTCGCTGCCCGGGACGCCCGACGGCCCACGTCGCATGCCGACTCGCAACACGCCAAACCCGCGTAAGCAGCGCCGCCGCAAATCCATGCCCGGCGGAGACGGCCTGGCAAACGGCAACGGCAGCACGAAGGGCACCAGCAAGAAGAGCACGCCTGCGCGTACCAAGGCACCTGGCAAGCGAAGCGGTGCAAAGTCTGTTGGCGCCACGCCTCTTCGCGCACATGCCAAGCGGGCTTGAAGCTTCAGTCTTGGTGTGCGCTCTGCTTTGTTGTGTGTGTGTGT